ATCTGTTTTGAGAGATAAAGAACAATATATTTTAACAAAAAGTTTCATCCATCAAGAAGATGTGATGATTACAAACTTACATGCACCTAACAAGAGTGCCTCCAAATATATGATGCAGACGTTGACACAATGGAAGGAAGAAATAGTTCTACAATAATAATTGGATATTTCAATGCCCTTTACTTTCAATAATAAATCAGACAGAAAATGAATAAGAAAACAGAGGACATGAGCAACATTGTAAATCATTATGACCTAATCCAAACAACAGAAGAAAGCACATTCTTCTCAAATACACATGGAACATTCTCCAGGATAAACCATATTGTAGGCCACAAAAAAGCCTCAATAAAGCTTTTCAAAAGATTTAAATCATACAAAATGTCCTTTCCAAACACAATAAAATAAAACTAGAAATTAAAAATATGAGAAAAACTGGCACATTCACAAATACATGGAAATCAAATAGCACATTCTTAAGCAACCAATGGTTGAAAAACAAATGAAAAGAGAAATCAGAAAACACCTTGAGATGACTGTAAATGAAAACACAACATGCCAAAACTTGCGTAATGCAATAAAAGTAAGAGGAAAGTTTATAGCTGTATCACCTACATTAAACAGAAGTGTATCAAATCAATAACCTAACATTGTAGCTTAAGGAGCTAGATGAAAATGAGCAAATGAAACCCAAAGCTAGCAGAAGTAAGTAAATAATAAAGATCAGAGTGAAGATAAAGGAAATAAAGGATTAAAAAACAATAGAAACAACAAAACCAGAAGTGTTTTTTCTTTGAAGAGATAAACAAAAATGACAAACTGTTAGCTTGATTGACTAAAGAGAAAGGAAGAGAATATTTAAATTATTAAAATAAAAAACAAAGTGGGGACTACTGCCAACCTTCCAGAAATAAAAAGGATTTTAAGAGAATATTATGAATAACTGTATACCAAAAATTTGGACAAGACAAATAAAATAGACAAAATCCTAGAAACATACAAACTACCAAAACTGAATAAAAAATAAACAGAAAACTGAACGGATCCAAAACAATTAAGGAGATTGAATCAGTACTCAAAAACATCCCAGGCTTCTTTGGTGAATACTAAAAACTTTTAAAGAGGTATTAACACCATACCTTCTAAAATTCTTCCAAAAAATAGGAAAGAATACTTTCAAAGTCATTCTATGAAGCCAGCATTACTCCAATACCACAGCCAAAGATCACAAGAAAAGAAAATTACAGGCCAATATTCCTCATGAATATAGATTTAAAAATTCTCAGCAAAATATTAGCAAATGGAATTCAGCAGCATATTAGAAGGATTATACACCATGACCAAATAGGATTCATCCCTAGAATGCAAGTGTTTTAACATAAGAAAATCAATCAGTGTAATACACCACATTAATAGAATGAAGGAAAAAACACCCACATGATCAACTCAACTGATGCAGGAAAGTATTTGAAAAAATCCAATTCTTTCATGATAAAAACACAGAATAAATTAGAAACACAAGGAAACTTCCTCAAAATGATAAATGTTGTATATAAAGAGCCCATACCAAAAACCAACCAAACTCACTGCCATCAAGTCAGGTTCAACTCATAGCAACCTCTCCTTGGGTTTCCGAGGCAGTATCACTATGGGAGTAGATTGCCCAACCCTGCTTCCAAGGAGTGGCTGGAGGGTTTGAACCACCAGCCTTCTGGTTGGCAGTCAAATGCTTTAGGCACTATGCCACCACAGCTCCCTAAAAATCCCATAGCAAACATCATATTCAACGGTGAGAGACTGAAAGGTTTTCCTTTGAGATTAGGAATAAGACAAGGAGTTCAATTTATGCCACTTCTAGTCAACATAGCACTAGAAGTTCTTGCAAGCAATTTTGTATGAAAAATAAATAAAAGGCATACAAATCAGAAGGAAGTAAAATTACATCAGTTTGTACATGACAAAATCTTTTATGCAGAAAACTCTAAACAATACACATACATACACAAACTGTTAGAGCTAATACATGAATTCAGCAAAGTTGTGATACAAATTCAACATACAAAAATCAGTTGTATTCCTATACACCAACAATAAGTAAACAAAAAAGGAAATTAAGAAAATAATTCTATTACAATAGCATCAAAAAGAATAAATACTTAGGAACAAATTTAACTAAGGAGGTGAAAGACTTGTATATTGAAACTGCAAAACATTGCTGAAAGAATTTAAAGACCTAAATAAATGGAAAGACATCTTGTATTCATAGCTTGGAAGATTTAATATTGTTAAGATGTCAATACTACCCAAAGTGCTACAAAGATTCAATACAATCCCTACCAAAATCCTAATGGAGTTTTTTGCAGAATAGAAAGAGATCCTAAAATTTATGTGGAATTATAATAGGCCTCAAATAGCCAAAAGAACATTGAAAATAAAGCTGGAGGGCTCACATGTCCCTATTTCAAAATGCACTACCAGGCTACAATAATCAAAACAATGTGGTACTGATATGATGTTAGACATATAGATCAATGGAATGGAATAGATAGCCTAGAAATAAACCCTCACATATATGGTCGATTGATTTTTGACAAAAGTGTCAAAATTATTCAGTGGGGGAAAGGACAGTCTTGTCAACAAATGGCGCTTATAAACAGGGCATTTACATGCAAAAGAATGAAGCTGGACACTTACCTTCACATCATGAAAAAAACAAAACAAAACAAAACAAAAAACACTCAAAATGGTTCAAAAGCCCAAATACCAAAGCTAAAATTATAAAACTCTTAGAAGAAAACACAGCGGAAAATCTTTATAACTTTGGAATTGGCAATGATTCCTTGGCATTGAGACTAAAAGCATAGGAAACACCACCACAAAATAGAAAAATTATACTTCATCAAAACTAGAAAACTTTTGTGTATCAAAGGAATCTGTCAAGTATGTGAAAAGATAACTCATGGAATGGGAGAAAATATTTATAAACCATATGTCTAATAAGGGACTAATATTCAGAATATAATATATAAGTAAGTTTTACAATCTAACAACCAAAAGACAAACCATTCAATTAAAAAATGGGCAAAGGATTTAAATAGTCATTTTTCCAAAGAAGATGTAAAAATGGTCAGTTAGCACATGGAAAGATGTTCAAGGTCATTAGTCACTGTTGTTGTTTAGTGCCATTAAGTCAATTCTGACTCACAGCAACCCTATATGACAGAGGAGAATGGCACCATAGAGTATTCTTGGCTATAATCTTTAGGAAAACAGATTGCAGACCAAGCAATCTGCTTCCCTAAAGATTCACTGGATGGGCTTGAACTATCAGCTTTTCCATGAGCAGCTGACCACTTAACCATTGTACCACCAGAGCTCTTTCATTAATCATTAAGAAAACACAAATCAAAACCTACAAAGAGATACAACTTCACACCCGATAGAAAGTCTCGTATCCAAAAAAAAAAAAAACTCATAAAATAACAAATGTTGGTGAAGATGTGGAGAAACTGGAACCCTTGTCTATTGCTGGTAGGATGTAAAATGGTTCAGCTGCTGAGGAAATAGTTTAAAACCAAAACCAAACTCACTGGCATCAAATAAATACCAACTCATAGAAAACCTCATTGTGTTTCAGAGATGGGAAATCTTTACTGAGAGGCTGCTGGGTTTGGACCTTCTGGTTAGCAGTCAAATGCCTTAGGCACTGTGTCATCACAGCCCCTGAGGGAACAGTTTGTTGTTGTTGTTGTTATGTGCTGTCAAGTCAGACCCGACTCATAGTGACCCCTCCTTGGGTTTCCAAGGCAGTATCACTACAGAAGTTGATTGCCCAGTCTTCCTTCCTAGGAGTGGCTGGTAGGTTTGAACCGCCAGCCTTCTGGTTTGCAGTCAAGTGCCTTAGGCACTATGCTATGAGAGCTCCTCCAGGGAACAGTTTAGTGCTTCTCAAAAAGCTAAACAAGGAATTACCACACGACCCAGCAGTTCCACTCCTAGGTACATACTTGAAAGAAAAGAAGCAGGGACTTAAATAGACATGTGTATACTAATGTTCACAATTCACAACAGCCAAAAGGTGGAAACTACCCAAGTGTCCTTCAATAGATGAATGGATAAACATATAATGGAATTTTATGCAGCCACAGAAAGGAATGAAGTTCTGGTACATGTTACAACATGGATGAACCTTGCAGACATTATGCTAAATGAAGTAAGCTAAACACAAAAAGGAAAATATTGTATGATTCCACTTATATAAAGTATCTGAAATAGATAAATTCATAAAGACAGAAAGTAGAACCCAAATTAGAGATTACCAGAGATTTGCAGAGAGGAAGAAATGGTGAGTTAATGTTAAATAGGTAGAGAGTTTCTGTTTGAGATGATGAAAAAGATCTGGAAACAAATAGTTGTCATGTTTAATAAAACACTGTGGATGTACTTAAAGTCATTGAACAGTATATTTAAAAATGGACTCGCTTCCATTAACTATTCAAATCCTTTGCCCATTTCGCTTGCCTCTCAGCCCAACAGTAGAAAGACCAATGTGCAGAATACCTACTCCAAGGAGATGCACCCCTTAGATCAACCAGCCATGAGACATCAGAGGGGCAGCATTCACATAGAAGGAAAGCTGGACAGACAGGAATGAATAGATAAGAAGGGTACAGGGAGGAGAGGGAAGGAGAGTTTTTTATGGTTGAGGATGGTAATCGACTGTGAAAACAAATGTGCATGAACAGCTGAATGTAAAACAAACCTGCTCTGTAAATTTGCACCCAAAGCATAATAATAATAATAATAATAATAATAATAATAATAATAATAAAGGTTAATTAGGTCAATTATATGAATTTTACCACAATTATAAAATAAAAATGTAAAAACTTTAAGTATTATACAAATATGTCTTTACATTTCTGTAACAAATAAATTTGAGAAAACACACTTTTGCTCAGACACACATACAAACACACAATTAAATAAAATACAAATACCTGCCACATTTCTACCTTCTTTTTTACTTCCTCTTTTTCTACAGATTCATTTAAATTTGCCAGAGCTTTGGCTGCCAGTATTCTTCTTGCCTCCACACTCAATTCAGATTGCAAAGTAACCTGTGGAGCAACTTCTGATGGGTTTTTGCTCTCTTTGTTTTTATGTCCAACAGAGAATTTCACTTTAGGAGTAGAGCCACAGTTTAGAGGGGGACAGCAAGTTCCACCACTCACCAGGATGGACTCCTGGCCCCAACTGTCATGAGTTTCACACTGACAATGGTCCATTTGCTGGTGAGAGTGGTTTGGTTCCTTATGGATATTTACAAAATTGGGTGTAACTGGTTCTCCAGGGTGGTATAAACCTGAAACTCTTGAGGAAAATGTTCTACTCCGCTGTACTTCCTTTGGAATATCCTTCGTATGGAAAAGTGGTAATTCATCATCTTTGAGTCCTTCCAAGCCTCCATACTTAGCCTGATTCCAGAAAGAAAATGTATTGCGTAGCAAAGTTTTTTTCTTTAAATCTAGCTGTGCTGACTGTGGAACATAACAATGGCTTATGGTTTTCTGCTGCTTGACATTATGGCAAAGCAAGACGTGGGCAGGCACTGTCCATGGAGTCACACCTTCTTCCAAAAGTAACTCAGCCCGCTTTAAATCTGAGTCACTGTAGCTAAACCGCCTTTTCAAATGTGTCAATGGTTGAAGGCATTCAACATTCCACCTCTTCCAAAGGGGATCAAGTTCTTGCTCACTGGAAAGAATGACATCCTGATTTTCACAAGCTGCTGCCATGGGGATGAAAGGGTCTGATGCATCACTGTCATGCCTCATTAACTCTTTATCCAGTTGCAAAGTGACCATTTCAGAAACTGTCTTTTCGATTTCAGCAGAGAGGTCTGGTATTTCTGACACCTCCTTCACCACTGGCCTGTTCTCAGCCAAATCCAGCAGCAATTTACAAACTAGGTGAACAATTTTTGGCACGTATTTCAGAAGTCGTGCTTCATAACCATGAAGTAGATGACGCTGGCGAATTAGATATTGAGCTAAAGTGACAGCATGTGCTTTGGGATCACAGCAAGAAAATATATTGCGAAGAGGAATCAGAAACTGTGTAAATTCCCTTACACATAGGAGTTGTCCTCTAGTTTGTATGGAATTTGGTCGCTTTGCCCGAACAAATATAATGGCTTGGTCAGCAGTCATTCTCGTTGCAAAAACTAAATAACATGCTATTAAAACACCTAAATAGTGAAGAAGAGAAGATTAGAGTAAGAAAAGCTATGTTTTTATCGATAACTCTTTGATGATTTAAAACTTGTGTTTGTGTTAAGAATTATATAAACACAGGAACATTTTAGGGATGATTTATAATTATAACTTTTATAACTTTTTGTACAGGTGTTTGTTACTATGTAAAAGTTTATCAATTTACTATCTATATGGTACCCTGTACCTTTGACCAAGAACTTTTAGAAAGCAAGGACTGCCTTAGTCATCTTTTAGGTAGTAATAAGTATGGAGCAAAGAAAGGGACAGTCAATGAACTGATTGTCTGGACCATTTATATTCCTTAAACTCAATTCCAATATGGAAGAGAGTAAATTTTACTTCTATTATCCACTCTGAACAGTTCTTTTCCACCTAATCAGATACAACAATTTGTGCTTACAACTCCCCCGCCATTACCACCTTTGCCATAAGTTGTTGGCATAATCTGGCCTGGCACTGTCCTTGGCATTTGAACGTTTTTTTCTTTGGGGATTATTTACATTTATAATCTACTAGTTTTCTTCCTGACCATTCTTCTTCCAGACTTGTACCTACACTAATTTGTGTTTTTCTTCAGAACATGATATAACTTTATTTTTCCACAAGCACTTAATATTAAGGAAACTAACCTTAATAATGTAAACACTATGTGTAATAGTGTATGTTTATGTGTTTTCTTGTTAATTAATATCAAATTAAAAATAATTAGCTAAAAGGTAATAATTAACTCAATAATTAATATAAAATTAAAAGGCAAATCCTTTTGGCAATATGTACGATTCACCAAATTTGTGATTATCTTGTTACATATGAAAAATTAGAAGCTCTGAAAATTGCATGTTCACCCAGTACATTGTTGTTGTTAACTGCCATTGAGTCAATTTGATAGGGTACAATATAAATATATCTTTCTTACTAGATCATGACAAATCTTTAGAGTAAGTATAAAATATCTGCAGAGCTATCATGTGAAAAGGAGATTAAAAGTATTCTTCTTAATCCCCAAGAACTGCCAGATTTCGGCTCAACCATAATAGCTAACTATCTCAAACAGAATTAAATCCTTACCACTGAAGGGATTCATAAATAGGTGGGTGGATTATATGGTAGGTACATGGTAGATGGAACTGAGCATTGTGTGTTTGGTTGAACAAGATGACAATGAAGACTTCAACCCTAAGATCCTTACCCCAATACCAGCATTGTAATGAGATTCTGCCTCATTTTTAAGTAAAATCATTGATTTTTATATAGAATTCTAAGCACAGATAGACTCTCTTTCACAAACAAAATCTTTACACCTCCCAAAGTAAAAAGCACATGAGCTTTGGCATCAGACAGCCATGGATTTAGATCTTGGCCCTGCCACTTACTAAATGTAGCAAATTACTCAACCCCTCTCAAACTTCAGTGTTTTCAAGTTACACCATTGCTATCGATTTTAAAAAATATTAGATGTAAAAGGAACATAATAAGTGAAATAATGCTTACTACTTTCATTAATATTCAGTTGAGGCAAATTACATCTTTTAAAGTACATTACATATGAAAATGAGGTGTTGAATTTTTTTTTCCATTAAAGAAGAAAATCAGGGGGTCGTTTATCTCATTTTAGAGACCCATCTGTTATTAAATATGATGAGTTTTCAGCTCTAAGTCATTCAAGAATACTTACATGAACACATGGTCATTATAACAAACTACTTAAGATATTTCAAATATATTTAATAAAATACTTCTTCTATTTGACCCCGAAGCTTTGGTAGGATTCTGAAAAATACTTATCCTGCAGAATTTGGAAGTATTTGGCTGCTAACTAAAAGGTCAGTGGTTCGAACGTACCAGCTGCTTTATGGGAGAAAGATGAGGCAGTCTGCTTCAAAGATTTACAGCCTTAGGAACCCTATGGGAAGTTCATCTCCATCGTGTAGGGTCACTATGAGTCAGAAACAATTTGATGGCAGTGGGTTTGGTTTTTGGTTTTGTGTATGTCTGAATATACCTACAAGACAATAATAAACCTACTCCTACTATTTACCTGTTCGCCCAAGCCCTGCATGACAATGAATAGCTAGTCTTCCTTCCTGTAAGGCAAATGTCATCACCTTCACCATATCTAAGATTGTAGTAAGAGATGCTACACCATAATCCTTCCATCCGAAATTGTAGAAATAAACTGGGGATTGAAAAAAGAAAAGGAACAAAACCACATACAGTTAAAACTTGCAAAGACATTGGAAGAAAAATAGTGGATTCACAAAAGATATAAAACTGCAAGGCAAATTATCTCAGTGGATACCCAGGCCTAGAAAGATAGAACTTTTACATTTCTAGTAAGTTTATTGTTAATAATTCCTACAAAGAACACTCTATGTTAAGATGCTTCCTGCTAAAACTCAGCCAGAAAAAATTATGGAACAGTAGAATTACAAATTAATAATGTTAATAATCCACACCAAAATTAATTGGCTGTGGAGGAAACAATTTTAGCATGGAAATATATCTAAATGTCTGATGAATGGCTAGATTTTCCCCCTAGATTCAAAAAAGGAAACAACAATAAAAAGAGCTAGACACAAACTTTTTTTTTTTTTTTTTTTAACATTTCTTTAAGTTCCAAATTGCATAGGTTTATCATTTCCAACCTGGCTTGGAATGTTACGTGTTCAAGATTCCATTCCGAAGCTCCTGTGAATAGGGGAGCCTCTGGGAATGTCATACAAAGAGTCACACTGAATGTCCCCAAATGTCCCTAGAGTGGCAGAACTCTGTAGCAGTAAAAGGTATACTATAGTCTTACATTCTGTCAGTTTTAAGCTGTGTCATTTTGGGCAAGTCAGTTCAACTTGCAACAATTATGTTATACAACTGCTTTAAGGATTAAATGAGAAAACAGCATCTGGAATTCTATAGGCATTAATTAAACATGTTAACCATTATTAGACACATTATTCACCACATTCCCTCTCACAGGAAAAACAATGTTCTTTCAACAGGACTACCAAAGAAGAAGAGTAGCATTATTTAGTCAAAATCAGCTCATTTCATTTTTTATGAGCCCTATGCGAAGCAATAAGCTTTTATTTCCATAACTTTTTTTAACTTAAGTGCAGAACAGAAAAGAGTCTCTAAGTGCTGTCTTTGATAATTCATAAAGAGGAGCAGTGGGAAGAAACTTACTGCCAGCCTCCATGAAAGCTTCAGGAAGGTAAGTGAAACCACTTTCTTGTTCCAGAGAGTGACCACAGCTAGCATGCTCACCAGGACGCTGAAGGTTAATTATTGTTTTTATGCCACAGCTTAAAGAAAGAAAGAAAAAAGAATCAGTCATATTGGGAACTTGTTGTTGTTGTTGTTATTTGCCATTGAATCAGCCCGACTCATAGTGACCCCTCCTTGGGTTTCCAAGGCAGTATCACTACGGAAGTAGGAATGCCCAACCTTCCTTCCGAGGAGTGGCTGGTGGGTTTGAAC